TCCCCCGCAAAAAGAAACCACTCCTGAGAAATGCCCTCTGGCTGCTCCTGCCTCTGTGTGTCTCTTCTCCCATGCCACTTGGCAGGGGTGAGCCACCCACATGGAAAACCAGGGGATCTCTGGGCTGCTGAGGGCTGAGCACTAACCCGCATGTTCACACAGCCAGCCGGGCAGCAGCTGATGCCCGGGGACGTGCCGGACACCAATCTGCAGCTGCCTCTAACCTCTCTGGCCTCAGCCTCCAGGAGGCACAGCAGATTCTCAATGTCTCCAAACTGAACCCCGAGGTGATCCAGAAGGTGAGGCTACTGGGCTGGCTCTGAGGCAAGCAGAGCAGAAATAGGGGGCAGGCCAGCACTGTGGGAAAGAGTACAGGAGGCCTGATAAGAGGGGTGGGGTGGGGACTTTGGCTGCAGTCAGCTGGGACTCTTGACTTGTGGGGACCAGTGTCCCTGGTTTTTAGGCCCGAGGCAGGCAGTAGCAGAGGCATAGAGCAGTTGGTGGTAGCAGCCAAACTCCTTCCTCCATGGGTATCTGTCCACCTTTCTACCCCTTAGTGGTTACAGTGGCTTCCTGTGTGGAGTTTCAGGCATGCAGGGTGGAGGGGTTGAGCCCTTTCGCTTTCCTTCTTTGTCATCTCCTAGCTTCCCCCGCCTCTGTAACCCAGAGACTGCACACCTCTCACCGTCTCCCCTCCTCTGCAGAACTACGAACACCTATTCAAGGTGAATGATAAATCTGTGGGCGGCTCCTTCTACCTGCAGTCAAAGGTGAGTGGTCTTTGCTGCTGGGAGGAGGGCAAGCCACGTTCCAGGCAGTTCAGAGCTTGGCAGATAGGAAGTTGTGCGGGCCTTTCCCTGGTGCCCCAACCTCAGGAAGGCCCCTCTAAACTATCACTGCTTCTGGCTGCTTCAGCTATCTAGCTCTGTCAGCCTGAACCCTGCATCAGCCTGGCCAGTAGTCCTCCCAACAGCCATGGCTTTGAGGGAAGAGGACACCTAGTTGGTGGATTGCTAGAAGCAGCTCTCAGGTCCCAGACAACAGTCCATATGTGTCCTGGGTTGTCTCTTTGTGGGGGGAAGCCCCCAGGCCACCCTTTCCACCTCGGACACTAGACCTGCCCACTGCTATCTGGGACTCACAGCTGAAACTGGACTATCTTGTGCAGGCCACCCTATCTAGCTGTTTGTAACTCCTTCCCCAGGTGGTCCGAGCAAAGGAGCGTCTCGAGGAGGAGCTCCGAATCCAGGCCCAGGAGGACAGAGAAAAAGAGAAGAGGCCCCAAACGTGACTACTTGGTTCCTCCCACCCCACCCTCCACCTCTAATTTATAGCTCGGTAATAAATGTCTTTTCCGCATTTCTCAAGTGCGCATATCTAGATTCCAGAAGGCAGACTGCTCTTCCTGCCAGCCATGTGCGGCATGCGGCAAGAGGTGGGGTGGGTAAGTTTGGCAAGAAGCCAGCCCGAGTTCTGTCACGTACTAGACATAGCCACTCCTGCTGTCACAGTGCCAGCACCAGGTCCCTCCTACAGTGTCACCATCCTTGGGTCTGTCCCTGCCCTTCCCACCAGGAGATGGAGCCATGGGTACCCAAGCTTTCCACAGGTTGCCTTTCCACAGCTGGGTTTGACTCTAGCAATCTCAGTAATTTGGGCAGAATGCTTCTTGTATGGCTGGGGGAAAGAAACCTCTCATTGCATTGAGGCCTGGGAGCTGGGTCTTCCCAGGAGCTAAGCCACTCACCAAAGCCACAGCAGGTACTGGCAGGACAAGGACCTGACTGTGAGCTTTGTCCCAGATCTTGCCTTTCAGGTCCTAGTGGTCCTGCTCCCTCAGTACCTGTCCCCTCCCACCTTGTCCAGCCCTCAGCAGCAGGTTGAAAAGTGATGGCACCCACAGGATTGGGAAGAAGACCCAGAAACAGGGCCTCGGTGCTGCAGCCTGGGGTGGGTGACTCCAGAGCCAGACACAGGGCAGTCAGAAGTAGTTTCTTGTTGGGTGGCCCAGCTTCGGGAATGTACAAGACAGAAACCATCGTTGCAACTCACTTTTATTGTTTCTTTATAAATTTCCTCTCACATGGAGGAATATATTGTTATAGTCATTAGCTTATCTTTTTTTTTTTACTCTATGCTAACAGCAGTGGAGCCAAGAGGAGGAAAAACATAAGCTACGATAGAAAGGCACTTAGAACCTGTTAAAATACTGATATCCTGGAATGTGCAACAACAAATCAACAACAACACGTACACCAGCCCTCTTGGGCTTGGTCTATCACTGAGTCACATGCTGAGCTAATGTCACCTTCCAGTGCCCTGTTCCTCTGCTCCCTGGGCTTGAATCTCAACCCCCCTCATCCCCCAGCTGGGGACTTAAAGGCCTGGGGCCCTTCATGGGGTTGGTGGTGCCTGGGTCCTGGATGGGGCCCAAAGAAAGGAGACCAGCTCCTTCCTGTTCTGCTCACAGCCCCTTGGAGAGGCAGAGCCAGCACTGCCGGGCCCTATTAGGGCGGGCTGGGTCAGGGTGACCCCTCTGGGACAGAAGGGCAGTCCAGAAAAAGGTAGGGGTCAGCAGAGCTGCTGAGGAACAGAATAGGGACTCTGGAACCACAGGGCTACTAAAGACCCCACTGCTGTCCTGCAGCTCCCTTGTTCTACTGCCAGGGAAAGGGAAGGGTTGCTCACTGAGGCCAAGGACAGGGCAGGCCTGGAGCCAAAGCTCCTGGGGGCTAGACCAGTGCCTCCTCAGGGCTTAGCGAGAAGCACATGCTAAATCCCCAGGGCCTGATGGGAGCGCCCACTCCCCAGGGTTGGGCAATGGGCACCTGGAACACTAGCATCTTTGCCCTATTCTAGCCCCTGGGGTTTTAAAATAAAAAAACATGGGGAAGCTCAGCTGGAAGAAGCCAGGGGAAACAGCATGTCACAAGTCCAACTCCTTCCAACTTTCCCCTCCCATGTGGATGGGCTGGGCCTCCCATGGCCATTCTTGACTGTTTCACCATCTCCTAAGCCCAGGGCCTCAGTCCATGACCTCTGGAAAGCTCCTGTGCCTAGCACTGGCCTGTAGCCCTCCCTTGTCTGTGTGCTGGCTAACAGCACACCCAGAATGAGAGCTTTGCCCCAACCTGGGATCATGCCCAGCCAACTTCCTGCCTCTTACCAGCCTGCAGGCTTCTGCAGCACCTAGTGCAGGAGGGCCACTGCCCCAGGCCAGGCCCACGTCACCTGTTCCCTGAGCCGGGCAAGCCCGAGGTCCTGGTACCTCACTTCCCCATACTCCAGGGCTCCCCATAGGTAGAGGGAGGAGGCCAAGGGTAAAGGGGCAGCTCAGTGGTCAGCTGTCCCCTCACTTTGGAGAGCATCATCCAACACAGAAGGGGCTCACCCTCAGGCAGTGCTGGATGCTTTGGACAGATAGGTAGGGGCAGTGGGCAGAGCAGGCCTCCCTCTGAGCAGGAGGCACCTTGTCATAAGGATAAGGTGGCTCTTCCTGTGGCTTTGCAGGGGCCTGCGTCTGTCTTGCTCTCCCTCTGGAGGGTGGGCCAGAGGAAAAGGGGTCCGAGGAGCCCTTGGAGCAGGAGACTGGTGAGGCTAGGCAGGAAGGGTGGGGGCCTCAATCCTGGGGCTCCTTGTCATAGCTCACCACATGGAGTATGGAAAGAGCCCTGGGCTAGCAAAGAGGGTAGATACCACCCCACCTGCCCCCACTGCTGGGATGTGGCTGGCAAGTGGACAAGGC